GCACCTACTGGGGCTGGAGCAATAGCGCAGCGGTTAGGGCATTTGCCTTGCAGGCAGCTGACCCGGTTTGATTCCCAGCATCTCATATGGTCCTCTGAGCACCGCCAGGAGTAATTCCTGAGTGCAAGAGCCAGAAGTAGCCCTTGTGCATCGCTGGGTGTGACCCAAAAAAGAGAAAAAAAAAAAAAGCATCTACTTTGGGAACCTTCCCACCAGGGCTTCCAATGTTACACCCTGAGGCACTTGGGAGGCCATGCAGTATTGGGGTTCCAGTGAGGTGACCCATAATGCAGACAGGTACTCCAGCCTTCTACAAATCCCCACAGATTTGTAGATCTCAATGTTACAAAATAACACAGAAGACAGGAGGTTGTTATTTTGACCATCAAGCTCAAATTTGTGTATGCGGTTGGTGGGGGGAGGGTAGAGAGGATTGAGAGGGGTTGTAGCACATTGAACGGTGCTTGGGGGCTACTTTGGCCCTGTGCTCTGGGAGTTGCTACCAGGTGGTCAGGACACCGAAGCTGGGCAGCTGGGCCCCCCTGCATGCAGCAGAATTGGCTCTCAGCCTCTGGGACCAAATGCCTCTCAAGTGAAAATGAATTCTAAATGTTTCAATTTTCTACAAACTACATTTGCCTGCGGCCTACACTTTAAGAAGGGTAGAAACCCATTTACTATATCTTTCCACTGGCAAAAGGAAACTTTTCTGCAATATTTCCTATATAAGTAGGGAGCAATGCCTTAGCCTAGCCTGAAGTCTTTGCACAGCTGGGACGCTGAGGTAGAGGGTGCTCCATTTGGCAGGGTTATACCCTGGATGCTGGGGGTTGGGCTGGGGTGCTCCAGGGTTGTTCTTTGTGATGCAGGGAGTCACGTGGTGCTGGGGGCAGCCATTTTTGCCTTAAGCCCTGTACTAGCTCTCCCGCCCTGACCCTAGGCACTTCAGAAAAAAACGAATATAATACCATCATCTAATTATTTTTTATTGCCTGTTTTATTGCGTCCCCTCCTTGGTGTTATTGTTGCAATGACCAGGTTCACCCCTGCCTAGGGCTGGGTTGCTGGCACACTGAGCTTGAGGGGGTCTGCCGGAGACCCCACAGTAGGTTGCCAAGCTAGCATACCCTTCATCTAATGATTTAATCTAGAGGTTGTAGTGGAAATATCCCCGTTCTATTTTCCCCTAGGAAAAGAGATTGCTTTCCTAACTGCTAAGGGGCTGTTCCTGAAGGACATTTCTGACGAGATCATTCCGGTAAAGGAATTCAGAGCTCAAAGAACAGTCACACCTGTCAATCAACCTCAGGCACCAGCTTTCAAATCCAGTTGGTCTGAAGTCTACGTCAAAAACTATTTACAGAGTGAAGTTGACAAGAAATAGATTTATTTCCTCTTCTCTTGCCTTCTTCCCTTCACTTGCTTATCCCACATAAACATTTAATAGCTCTGACCTGAAATAGCTTTATAATACAAACTATACTCTGGGCTTGAGGACATTAGAAGCAAAAGTAGAAATCCAGTGACTCAGTAATAATAGTATCGGGATAAAAGGTTTTTGATTTTAGGCTTTTTGTTTGTTTGGAGGGAGGGGCATACCCAGCAGTTGCTCAGAATTTATTCCTGGCTCTGCACTCAAGGATCATTCCAGGCAGAGCTTGGAGGAACCATATAGGATGTCAGGGATTGGAACCCAGGTTGGCTGCGTGCAAAGCAAGTGCCCTACCTGTTGTACTATCTCTCCAGCCCCTGTCAAACAAACACTGTCCTCCCATCGTTCATTCGATTTGCTCGAGTGGGCCCAGTAACGTCTGCATTGTGAGACTTGTTGTTACTGTGTTTGGCATATTGAATACTTCACAGGTCGCTTGCCAGGCTTTGCCGTGCTGGTGTGATATCCTCGGTAGCTTGCCGGGGCTCTCCGAGAGGGGCGGAGGAATCGAATTTGGGTTGACCACGTTGGCTGCAAGGCAAGGCAAACGCCCTACCCGCTGTGCTATCGCTCCAGCCCCTCTCCAAGCTCTCTCCAGCCCCATGGGACAAAAAAACAAGAAAAAAAGTTTTCTTTTTTAAGAAAGGGGGAAAACCTGCAAAAACACTCCCTTTCACTCCCTTTTCAAAGTCATGTCAGTTGTGAATTACTGCTATTTCCCCTTGTTCCGATTATTTTTTGTTTGGCTAGCTTCTCTTAAAATAATGACCAGCTAATAATTTATTCTGAAATGAGACAGGATTTTCGACGGTGAAGGCATATGTTCCATGACACCTGCTTTTGATATTTGATCACGCTCAAGCTTGACAACTGATTGCCAAATGGTGACATAAGCGTGTTCATAAATACTCCAGTTGGACAAGCTGTGCCTTTGGTGACAGCCATGTCCAGAACGAGGCAGTAGTGGAAGTCACGGTGGCTGGCAAGATGGATCAGCTCGAGAGCTTTCAAATTGGTTAGATGAGGGCTGGAGTGATAGCACAGTGTGTTTGCCTTGCACGCGGCTGACCCAGGTTCGATTCCCAGCATCCCATATGGTCCCCTGAGCACCACCAGGAGTAATTCCTGAGTGCAGAGCCAGGAGTAACCCCTGTGCACCGCCAGGTATGAACCAAACAGCAAAATAATAATAATAATAATAATAAAATAAAATAAAAAGTCAAATTGGTTAGATGGATCTGAATCTGGATCTTATTGGATCAGAATTTCTAGACCTGTATGTTCTCAAGCCTTCATGGAACTCGGGGGCTAGTGTTTACCAAATGTCCCTTCTGTGTACATCCTCTTCCAGAGATAAGGGTACAGATAAGGTTACACAAGGTCTTTCAAACAACGTTTTCATGAACACGGGCTGCAGGTCTTACACACATGGAAGACACAATCTTCTGGCAGGACTAAGGAAAGACAAACAAACGCTGTTCCAAAGACATGGTAAGAGTACACAGAAATCAAGTGTTCCAGCCATGTAGAATGCAATGCCACAAATACACTAGACTAAGGATTCAATCTGTTTACAGACAGGGCCCCATCCAAGCCATGAACACGTTCTGATGATTTAGCAAAGGAAAAAAAAACAACAACAGATACCATTAAAAGTCGCATAAATCACCAGATGTAAACAGCCTGTTGAATGGGAGAGTTTGTGATCACTGGACTAGTTTCTCTACGGGGGAAAGGAGACCCCCCCCCTCCCCCCATGTGCAGAGGCAGGAAGTAGCAGCAGGGTTCTGGCTGCTGAGAGTGTAATAGCATCTCCCAGGGAGCTGCACTCGTTCTGCTCCCATTTCCTTCAGCCACAAGCTGTGATCACACGCAACTTTAGCCAGGGCTGGGAAACCTCACCATCACGTGCTCGGCAACGCCCGAGGCCAAATCCTGGACCCAGTAAATTCACACCAGAGGCGCTTCCCCGGGGCACCACACCCAGGCAAGGGCAGAAGCAGTGCCCCCAACACAAAGGCATGCTGTGCTGTCAGTGGACATCTGGGCCAGCCAAACATACAGTAACATGTAGATAGGTTTGGTAGGTTTGGTAGGTACAACTTCCCCCATTGCTGAAAACAATTCCCTACATTGCTGAAAATACGAGTTCGTTTGGGGTTATATACCTTCTCTCAAAAGGCCATCATGTCAGCATCCAGCTCAAACTTATCGAACTATGATCAAATTTGAGCTCCACAGACTCTCAAAGGAACACCACTTGCTGGCCTGGCTCAGGATGCCCAGGTGGGGTTTGGAGCGCCAGACTGGGCATCCGTGCACAGAAGCTCGCTCCGGGCCACTGCTGTCCTCCTGTGCACTTAAACGGTGTCCCGCTGTTGCTGGCTGGAAGGTTACCCAAGAAGTCTCCAACACACTTGCTGTCTGAATTGAAGAGTCTTTATTACCCTGCAGGGGCTGCCCAACCTGAGAGCGAGGGTTTCCCTGCCACCAACAGCCAGCCCTGAGCTCAAGTCCGGGAGGCAAAGTTCTAAACATTTCTTATCTCATTCTGCTCGGCTCCATCCATCAACATTCTCATTAGCGCTAGAGCAAGCAAGCACCAGGACGGGACAGAAGCCAGACGCTCGCGGCTGATCCTTGAACTGGCTCAAGACTTTTTGACTTGGCAGCTGCCAAGAGCAATGCGTGCGGACCACCTAGCGAGGACCCGGGTTTACCCTGGGCATTCTGTCCCTGCGTCCTTGGAGCGTCTCGGCCTGCATCCTAGCTCTTAGCGGTCATCTACTTTTCTGCTAACTTTGGGCCACATCCTCACGTGGGGAAATTCGGAATGGTCAGGTGGGAAATCCTCGGGCACCGCGCTCCTAGGCAGGGGTGCCACGTTGGGGGGGGGGGGGGAGCTGTTTCAAGTCCACCGCGCCGAGGCAGGAGTCAGGGGGAGCTCTAGCAAGGGTTGGGTGGAGAAGGAGAAACAAAAGGGGCTCTGGTTCCACGGCTCCTAAGGCCACTGCCACGGGCGGCGACGCCGCTCACCGTTAGCCGCGGGCAAGGCGGGGATCACGCGGCTGGCGCCGGGGTCGCAGCCCGGCGTGCGCGCGAGCACGTACAGCAGCTCTCGGCCGCGCGCCTTGGCGTGCGCGCGCAGGTGGGGGGGGGAGGGGGGGAGAGAGAGAGAGAGAGAGAGAGAGAGAGGGAGGGCGGGGCGTGTGGGCTGCGGCTCCGGCGCACGCACGAGCACGCACAGCCGCGCTCGGCCGCGCGCCTTGGCGTGCGCGCGCAGGCGCGGGAGGGGGCGGGGCGTGTGGGCGGTGGCTCCGGCGTGCGCGCGCGCGCGCCTCGCGAGCACCGACGGAAGCTCTCGGTCGGCCGCGCGCCTCGGGGGTGCGCACGCAGGCGGCGGCTTCGGCGCACGCACGAGCACGCACTGCCGACGCTCTCGGCCGCGCGCCTCGGCGTGCGCGCGAGGGCGGGAGGGGGCGGGGCCTGCGGGACCGCGAAGCGAGGCCCGGCGCGCGCGCGGGGCGGGGGTGGGGGCGGGGCCTGCTCCTGCGAGACCGGGCTCGCGGCGGCGGCGGCGGCGGCGTGCGGCGGGAGGCGGGTGACCCGCGGACGGGCGCCTCGGCCATGACTGCGGAGCTGCAGCAGGACGACGCGGCCGGAGCAGCCGAGCGGCACGGCTCGGTGGGCGCCGCGGGGGCGAGCGGGAACGGTGGGGGGGGCGCGGGCGCGGGGTCCCGGGGGAGGAGGGGAGGTGTGCGGGGCCCCGGGCGGGCGGCCTGCGGGAGACCCCCGCGAGCAGGCTGCAGCGCCGAGATGGGGGGCCTTCGGCGGCACCGCGGGCCGGCCGAAGTTCGGGGGGGGGCTCTGGCGTGTTGCAGGAGCGCCTGGACTGGCTAGCTCGGGGGGGGGGGGGCCAGCTCCGCGGAGTTGCTCCCCGGGGCCCCCCGCGACCTGCGCTGAGAAACTTCAGAGAGGGGCCGCGTCGGGTGGGTGTGCGCGTGGGTGGGGGGTTTGTTGTTGTTGTTCTAATTTTCCAATCGGTCTTTGGCCGCGCTGTTTTTCAAAGTCTGGAGCACGACCTAAGTTCCCGATGCCGAGAGCCGGGATTTCAGCCCCGCTCCGAGGTCCCGGTTCCATTCCCGTCCTCTCTGTCCCCACCGCCCACCGCCCCTCCGCCCCCCCACCCCCCCCACCCCCCGATCCCCGGCCCCGCTGGTTTCCTTCGCTCCGATTTTAAATTCAATAGCACCTCCCCGATCGCTGCATTCAACCCTAGATTTTTTTTTTTTTAAGGCGGGGGGCAGGACCAGCGCGATGAATAGGGCTGCTGAGAATCCTTTGCTGTTCCTCCGGAGAACGCTGAAATCAAGACACAGTTTCGGGGCGGGGAGGGAAAGCGCAGGTCGGAGTGAGATGCGCTGGAAGCCGGGTGGGGTCGGGGGGAGGCTCGGGTCCGCGCAGAAACTTGGGAAGTGGGCGCTCGGAGAATGCCTGCCACTGTTGCTTTGCAATGTTATAATTTAACACGTGCCTCCTCCCTCCGCTCTGGTGCCGCCGCCGCCGCTGCCGCTGCTGCGAGAAAGGATGGACGGGAAATCCGTGCTCATCGTGCAAGTGTGGAAGTAGGAGCCCCATCACTTGTTTTATTATTTGATTAGTAGTAGTAGCAGTAGTAGTATTTTGCACGTGCAGAGTTCGTAGAGGCCTCCGCGTGCAAAAACTTTCCAGCCCAGGAGCGTGTAAAATGAACACTGGCTGATCTGCCAGGCTCTGAGATGAAAGCGCCGCTGCTGCTGCTGCTGCTGGTATTTCCGGGTTGATTTCTAATGGAAATAGTGTGGCTCAGTGTTGACAAAAATGCCTCGTCTGGGTCAGGAGGTGGTTTTTTTTTTTTCTTTTTTTTTCTTCTCTGTTTGGTTTCAGAGATCAGTTCTGTTTGTTTTTTAGGACAGTGACTTAACAGCAGATGGGAAAATCTTCCTTCCGAGACAGGTCACAGTTGATTCAGAGGGGAGACTATTTTAAGGGCGAGCAAGTCATCTTTAAATGGCTTGGGACGGCTTTGGCCGAGACCCTGTGCCTGTTTAATCAGCAGCATCCCTCATGCTTCTCCTGGACGCTGAGTGCTGAGTGACTCCCCCCATTCCTGCCTCTTGGGACGGGAGAGCTTGAATGGAGATCTGGTGAGCTTTGGTATGTGAAGTCATAGCTAACTTTGGAAAGCTCAGGTGGCTGGCGGGAGTCCCCCATGCCCTGCGCCCTGCAGAGTGGTGACATTTAGTGTTCTTCCCAGTGATTCATCCCATGCTGACTGCTGATAAGCTTGGAATGCTTGATACTGTTTTGCGCCCCCCCCCCCCCAATTTTTTTTTTTGTGTGTGTGTGTGTTGTAAAATAAATGCTCCTCGCTTGAGGCTGCAAAAGTATCTTTCACATCTCTGAAGAGAGGTTTGGAGATTTTAATAAGGTCGTTCTTCTCCCAGAAGTTTCCTAGCAGGGGCTCTTAATTTGAATTCTTCGAAGCACTCACTGGGGTCCCTTAGAGGATTTTTAATTGTTCTAGTTGAGAAGAGCTCTTCCCCCCTCCCTCCCCAGAAGTTATTTAAAACCTCCAGTGCTTCCCTGCCCTTATTGGTCAGTTGTCCATGGGACAGACAGAGCCCTTTATAGCCTCCCAAGAATTTTGCAGAGAGAAAATTGTGATACTCTTGAAATAGGTTCCCGGTAGATCCTGAGGACTAAAAGAGGAAGCTTGGTTACAGCACTCCTTCCTACCTTCCGCCTCCTCCCCCCCCCCCCCCCATCTTCAGATACAATCTTCAGAATATTTATGGGCTGGTTCCTGTATTTTAATCAATTCTTGCCAGTTAGAGAAAACCCAGTTGCCCCCTTTGCTGTCATCACAGGATAAACAACTCAAAGTCACGTCGGTGCTTAGAAACCTGTCAGCCTTGGCGGTGGTGCTAAGGTTCAACTTCTTTTTTTTTTTTTTTATGCTAACGGGTGCCCTCGGAAAGCTGCCCTTGTCCATGAGAATTTAAAGGCCTCTGCTCTCTCCTGATTTATCGGCTCTCCATTCTCTTTCCCCTGTCTCGTATTTGATGGATTGATTTGGGGGGTGGGGGGGAGCATCAGGTCAGGGCTTCATTACCACCCCCTACTCTTCACACACACACACACACACACACACACACACCCGCTATAGCCCCTGATCCCATGGGACGCGGGGGGTGGCAGATTTATAAAGCACAGTGACACACAGGATCTCAGTGCGCAGAGGCTTCTCGTGCGCCTTGTCAGAGAAATTCTCCAGTAGATAGGTCATGGCAGGTATTTTCAAGGGAAAATAAAGCGAAGTTGTGATTGGAGCAGGTCCTGTGTGCCAGAACTCAACATCTATTCCCCACCCTACCGCCAGCAATCGCGCCAGCAAGTTTGCTATCGATGCCGCCTTGCCGGTGTTGCTGTTGTTTTTACTGCTCGTGTTCCAAGGAGGGTGGGTTGGGTTATGCCTATCCGACTGTGGTGCTCGCACATTTTTCTTCAGTTATGCGCACCAGGGGCTGGAGAGATAGCACAGCAGGTAGGGCGTTTTGCCTTGCACACCGCCCCTCTCGAAGAGCCCGGCAAGCTACCGAGAGTATCTTGCCCACACGGCAAAGCCTGGCAAGCTCCCCATGACGTATTCGATTTGCCAAACACAGTAACAAGAAGACTCACAATGGAGACGTTACTGGTCCCGCTCGAGCAAATCGATGAACAACGGGAGGACAGTGCCACAGTGCTATGCTCACCAGGGTTCCTGCACCCGCTTGAAGAGCGTGGACTGCCGGTGAGTGCTCACCGTGGGCTTCACACACTCGCTACGAGGCCTTGGGATTGCACATCTCTTAGTCGAGATGTTCGCTGTGGGGAGGTCACATGGATTTGCAGTGACGGCAGTGCCACTGGATATGGCATGTGGCACTGAGAACCACAGGTGGCCAGGCGTAACCACTCACAGAGCTGTTGGCATCACCCCTGTTACCTATAGTGGGACTGGGGATTGGACGCCCCCCAAATTTGATCTTAATTCTGTAAGGCAGGGTCCTCTTAGCCACTGAGCTAGTACCCACCTCCCACTCCATGTATGAAGTTCATTAAAAATATTTGCCACCCCCAAACATTTTGGGGGGGCCATACCAAAGTGTTCTCGGGGCTTGCTCCTGGCTCTGAGCTCAGGGGATCGAATGCAGTGCTGGGGATCGAACCCAGGTTGGTCGTGTGCAAGGTGAAAGCGTCATACTGGCTAGGCTCTCTCCCTCCAGCCCAGTTCTTTTAAAGTTAAGCTTAGACTTGTTAATTGCTACAGATTGTAGCCCTTGAGGGAGGATGCTGCTGGCATCTTACCAAGGAAGCCAGGGATGCTGCAACACCTACACTCCACAAGATTCCAGAATAGTCCCCAAAGCAGTTGTCAAGCCAAGTCTTCCAAGGAGGGTCTGAGCCGTGCTTGGCTGGTGGCACCTGAAGCCCTGTGCTGTCTCTCTGGCCCAAGGGTAGATGTCTCAATCACTGCCGTAGTCCATCACACACAGAACCACAGAAGTTCACTGTCCATTCTCTACTGACTTGTCAGCATCATTTAAAGGACTTTAAGTAACAGGAGGCCTGGAGAGTTGTTTGGATAGGTTGCAGTCTTCATCTTGCAGGTGCAGTGCTAGACTTTGGGAGTTGATTGACTTCTGAAACATATGGTCTGGCAAACACCAGGACTCAGGTGTTGAGTTCAGGACCCTCTAAATTCCCTGCACTTAGTGCTCTTCTCCTATTTGGACAGAGCACCTTGTTTTAGTCTGGTTCATCTGCCCTTTTTTCTCTGCTAGCAGCCGGCTTGTTTGCTTTTTTGCGTGCACGCGTGATGTGCGTATATGTGTTTGTGTAATTTTTTTATTATTATTATTTTGTATTTTGGTTTGCGGGCCTTACATGGCAGTGTTCAGGGGATTTAGAGGATTGAACCTGACCTGTAGTCTACTTCCTCAGCCTGTTGAGCTGTTCTTCCTGGGTTCCAGATGTGCATTTTTAATCCTGAGTTGCAAATGACTGTGTGTGTGTGTGTGTGTGTGTGTGTGTGTGTGTGTGTGTGTATGTCACACCTAGCAATGCTCGGGATATTCCTGGCACCTCCCTCAGGAATCAGTCCTGGAGAGCTTAGGAGACTATATGGGATGTCAGGGATCAAACCCGGCTCGGTCACATGCAAGGCAAATAGCCTATCCATGGTGTAATCGCTCTGGCCTGGCCCCACAAATGACTTTCGCCTCTTCATTTTCAGGGCTTTTGTTTGTTCCTTAAGTTTTGGTTTTGGACTACAGTTTTTTTTTTTCTCTTCCTTTTGGGGTTTATTTTGTTTTTATTTTTGTTTTGTTTTGTTTTGTCTTTGGACTCCACTGTTTTGTTTGTTCCATTTGTTTGTTTTGGTATGGGACTACACCGAGTGACTGAGCTGGGGGTGAGGGCCACTCCCAGTGCAGTGCTCAACCATCCCCGCAAAGCAGGTGTTTTGCCCCTTTGAACCATCTCATCAGCCCCTACTTCCAACTTTTGTGAGTAGTTCTCTTGGATTTCAGCCACCTTGGCTATGAACATTTGCTGCTTAGTTGTTTTTTTTAAATGGCTACTCCACTGTATATTACAAG